ATGTGAAAAAGAATACAAGTAAATGTGAAAAGATATGTGATACGTGAAGTGAATTACATGAAAATATGCTACGTGAAATTAAACTATGTGCATATGCGAATATGGGAAATAATATGAAAGTTAACGCCCATGTTATGTATTATGAGAGCTATAGGTATAGTTGGCATGCCAAGAGTCGAGGGTTCTACGTGGTCCTTCGGGACATATATGATATGTGATATGTAGTCCTTCGGGACAAATTTTACACGCCCCTAGTGAGATTTATACGAGCTGTGGTGATAGCATTGTGCACAACCTCTATGTACTCGCATACCTTAGGTTCTCGAAAGTATACATGGGCTAAACAAAGAAATAACATAAGGAAATATTGTATTATGTTATATATTTGATTTGTGAAAGTTGTAATATGAGGTACTTCAAAGGTTAAGATCTAATTATATGTTCTAAATGGATTGATGATATGGGTGTATATATATATATATATATATATATATATATATATATGATGTTTGTATTATTATGATATGAATTGTGAAATGTTCATGCATTATTAAGTATATGTTAATATGATAAAAGAAAGTATAGATAATAAAATAAGTAATGATAAACAGGTTGATGATAGTTTAGGTATGCATACTAACATTGTTTTGTGATACATGATATTTACATGTTTTTGTTAATTAGTGATAGTTATTATGTATTTATATGTCTCACTAAGTCTATGACTTAACGTGTAAGTGTCTTACACGTAGGTGTGATAAGTAAGAGGATCAAGCTTAGGACAACAGAACAGCAGATATTCGCTCGAAGATCAGATCATAAACATTTTGTAAAGTATGTCTTGTTATGTAATTTAGTATGTTGGATGTAACAAAGTCATTAAGTATGTAAGCTCTGATGGAGTTTAGTAATGCTTTTGAACGTATTTATATAAAGAATAACCTTATAGTATGAAAGTTTTAAATTTTCTATGGTTTTTATAAAAGTACATGTTTTGAACTGTCAATGTGACATCTCGGATTCGTATTCGGCCCGGATACGGGTTGGGGGTGTTACAATGCCCATCCTAGAGTCTCAACCGGTGGGTTAATTATGGGTGAGCCACGTGTAGGGCTCACTTGTGGTCTGGTTGTTTTGTAAAATTTAGCTGTTTTGTAACATTTTTGGGCTGCCAAACCATAAAAAATGTAAATTAATATTTTTTTATTTAATTTTTTTGTATTTAATATTTATATGTGTTTAGTATTTGATAATTATATATATATATATATATCATGATTGAACAACATTCTAATGTACTTAATTAATAATAATAATAATAACAATAATAAAAATAAAAGTATTCAACTTAATTGAGTTTAATTACGATATTACTAATAAATAATAATACTATAATATAAATATATGATAAGTAATAAGAGATAGTAATAATAATAATAATAATAAAAGTTAAATAAAACAAAATAAAATACATGTAGTAATGAAATATAAAGGAATAAGGCGTAAATGAAAATATCCAGGACAAAATTTAGTATCTACAAAAATGGTTAGAACTTATGAGTTATTGATATACGTACACGCCTCACATCAAATGAAGATGGATTGATTCTCCCAATTGACCTACATGTCCAACTCTTGAAAAAAAAGATTAAAACAACAACAAACTTGCGGTAATTTTTTAAATGGGATCCAGATATCTTTTGATAATGTCTTCTAAAAAGATAATCGATTGTATATTTATTTTCTAACGCATCTTAAATTGTTGCTAAGATTCCTAGCATTACAACATTTTGAAATAATCCACCATCGAAGTAATTAAAATTAACATGTAACATGTATCTAACAGATATAAATTAATATCAATTTAATCATATATAAAAGATCTAATTAACATCAACTAATGATATATATAAACGATTTTATTTCAAATATTCTTAATAACAATAATTTTGTGAATAATGTTAAGATGATATCGACTGTAATGCTTATGAAATTATTTTCTACATTGCCTATATACAAATACCTAAAAAATACTATAAACGATTAAATGTCAATTAAACCGACCCCAACAAGGAAGAGAAGTTCATCCATCATTGGATCTGTGACCACGGGGAGATCAACGGCATACCCGTTGCCTTGTCTCACATAATGCAGCTGCAGCCCGTCTTCAGGCAGTTCATTCGGTTGGTATATTCTATTTCTTGAGCCATTAACGCTTTATTTGAAGATTCCACTTTAATGAATTGTTCGGTGTAGAGCATGATCTTTTCGTTGGACTCCTTGATCACTTTCTGCAATGTGCTCACTTGGTTAGTCAAATCATCCAGCTGCTTCTGTTTATTCGCACGTGATCGCCTTGCTTATTCACGGTTCGACTCCATCTTCCTCCTTTTCTTCTCGTCGAAATCGAAGGAACTCGCCGAGTTTTGAACAGTAGCCATCCCACGGGGTAGTTTTTTTTTTTTTTATTTTATTTTTTCCACACAGGAGAATACTTAATCGGAATAATATATTGAACTAATGACAAACTAAAGGAGTTGGCTTTACACGAGCATATTAATCAACAGCAAAGAACCAATAAAGAAAGATAACAGAAAACGAGTGCAAGATATGAATACCATGCATCGAAAGGGTGTAACTCATTGAAAACGTACGGTCACTTGGATGGTCCCATAATGATCCACAGAGGAAAGACTCGAAGAAAAATAAGAATACTTAGCTGCTTGATGAACAATAAACAGAAAACAAAAGACAATTCGAACCATGTAAAAGCTGAAGAATATCTTAAAGGGTGACGAATGTCTGCTTTTATTGGCAAAAGATGAGATTGCTTTTAGAATGTCTTAAAGGAGACGCATTACTTTACCGTCTACTTAAAGATTTTAATTTTTAGTCAAAGATATTTATTAATGTTTTTAATTATTTCATTAGCTTCGATTTATTATGATAAAATATTTTCTTTCATTAATATATTTTAAAATTATATTATTAATTAATGTCTTTATTTACTGCTTTACGATAATCGATAATGTTATTCAATTTAAATATATGATTACAACTTACATGTAATTTAATTAATGATTTCTTTATTAATATTATCTGAAGTCTATAATATTCAGATTTTGTAAGATATGAAAAAGATACGCGAGAGAATATGAGATTTCCTTTAAAGAGATTACACGCTTTATTGACTAATAAAAGGTTAGATTCATATTTGATTATTTAATTTTAAAATATTATAATTTCAAAAAATAAAAATAATTATTTATAATTTTGTATAGATAAATTATACATATATTGATAAAGTTATAAATTAATCAGATCTTTGTTGAGGGATCTGTATGCTTTTTTGTTACTCAAAATAACTGGTTTACGAGATCCGTTGAATGCAAGGTGTGAGTTTTATCCATTCATTTATTGAACTAGAAATATAAGGTTTACACTAGTGTACATGCTTTAGAAGAATTGAACTTTATAAAAGAGTTGCATCGTAGCTCAGAGCAATCGAAAAACATTTATTATATATTGGTTTTATTTTGCTTTTTCCTATTTTGATTAGTAGTGAATGAAAAGTTGCATTTAGGGAAAAGTAATTTTTTCTCTCAAGATTATAGTGGAAGAAGAAGAAGAGATGTTGGCAATTTTATAAAAATCGACTTAAACTGCTGTTAATAGATTAACGGTCGAGTGACTAAATCAAATGGATCAATAACCAAAATCACTCGATGACCAAAATTGGACAAACAAAAAATATAAGATACTATATATATAGTATAATTTACTTTTTTTTTTAAAAAAATCATAAATTCTCAATTTTATTCTTCTTCTTCTCCATCTTTCTTATTCATTCATTCAATTTAGAATCAAATTTAACAATACTTTTTCTCTTTTTCAAATCTTATTATTCAATTTATCAAATATTATTAACTTTTAGTCTTCTCAAGTCTCAATCTAACAATAAAATAATTCATCGTTCTTTATTTTTTTTTTATTATTCAAATAATACATCGTTTTTTATTATTTTTCTCTTTTAAGTTTTGACCTCAAAACTTATCCTGTTTGATCTTGAAAACTTTGCTTTCGTCGTTTCCGCTTTTCAAAACATTGCGACTTGCTTCTTTAGTAACCCCCATTCAGGTTCATTTATATCTATTTTCTATGTAAACTATGAATTCCTAAAGGGAGCATTGAACATCGGGATTGCCTAATGTTGCAGGAGGTAGCAGTGGACCAGTCACACTCTTTGTCGAGATATTGAACAAGCCGGTGCTTAGAACTGTACAAGATTGAACCTTTATACTAAACAGCCTAATTTTGATTAGTTGATGGTTGGAGTTGGGGGAGTGCTTTAATTTTATTAAGGTGGAGTTCTGTTGCTTCTACGATTTGAATTAAAACATAAACAAGTAAAATGCGGGCAATCGATATTTTCTATTCATAATTTTGAAGGTATGCAAGGCTAACCTAGTATTCTGCTGATGCTGCAAGTTTAACTACATTCAGTGGAGGCAGCAGGCATATCTGTTTGCTCAATTCCTTTCCAGTAACCAGGAATTTGCCATTCATCTCTCACTCTAATGAGTTTGATCAAACTATATCAGATAGAAAATTGTTATGCGGTTTTTTCGGTTACATGTGTGGATATTAAAGTGTACAAATGGAGTTCTCTATTTTAAATATCACAAGACACTGAATCTAAATTCTGACTCAAGGAATTAATAATATCCATAAGTAAATAAAATGCTTTAAATTTAAACATAATGCAAAAAACAAATAAGTTTAAACATTAAAAGCAAAAGACGCACATAGTACAAGGAATGCTTGTCATTAAAATTGTAGGTAGACTAAGTAAAACACGAAACAAAATCACCTGATGCTTTCACAGAAATCCATAGAAATGTTGAGACTTGAGACTGAACATGATGGCTTGATCCATCTTTTCCAGACTTGACTCTTCCTGTTCATACATCGAGCAACCACCTGACTTTTTCTTCTTGTTTTTATTCGGGCTGGAGCACTACCTTAATGGCTGCATCAAAGATTGCCTTCACATTCTGCATTAAGCCATGCACGAGATTCCATCAGAATTCAACACAAATTTCCGGTTAAAATATGAAGGATAATGGATGACGTTTAACCTGCTGTGTTTTTGAGCTACACTCAATGTATGCAGGAGCCCCGATCTGCTTCTTTAATTCTTCTCCCTTAAGAAAAATAATTTATGCAAGATTTAGAATAAGAGGAACATATTCTCCTTGTAAGAAAAAATAACAATAATAATAATCTGTAGATAAGTACTTGAGCTGCAGAAATGGGAAATGCATTAGGATGGTCTGTTAAGAATTGTTGATCATCACGGAGATCTGAAGCAGAAAAGATTAAAAAACATAAGAAAATTTCATAAAAAGAGAGTTTCTTAAACATTAGTATAAAGGATGCTCTTTCTTATATGAGAAATGTTTCAACTGCTTGGGGAGTCGACTCAAAAACAATTCACATGGACAACCATGGCAAGCATATTATTATCTGAGGAGAAAGTATAATACCGAGCTTAGTTCCGACAAGAACTATAGGAACACCAGGTGCATAATGCTTTAATTCAGGAATCCACTGAAATAATAACCAAGAAAACACATGATCAGCATTAGGGCTATAAATGAGACGAGATAGATCGCGAGCTACTCGAGATCGACTCGATCAAAGCTCGATAAATACTCAGATCGAATGGACTCGACTCGAGTTCTTAGCGAGCCGAAACGAGCTACTCGATATTCGACTCGAAAAGCTCGTTAGCAGCTCGAAAATATAATATATTAAAATTTATTTTTTTAAAAATAAATTAGTAATATTATTAATATTTATGTATTGATTTTTTTTAAAAAAATACAATAAGATTTCATATATTTAAGGTTCATGTTCGAGTTTGAGTTTGAGGTTTCAATCGAGTTAAGTTTAAGAATTTTTTTTTCATTTCGAGCCTTTTCGAGCTGCTCAAGAGCTTCAGTTCAGGATTTCGAGTTCGAGTCGAGCTTGAAAATTTTAAGCTCGCGAGTTTTCGAGTCGAGTCGAGCTCAGCAATACTCTAGCTCGACTCGGCTCGTTTACACCCCTAATCAGCATGCACAAGACATTATTAGATATCTCGACTCATACTAAAGGAAGTTATTATCTCTAAAGACAATATCATTCAAAAGGTAAAACCTTCTTGGCAACATTTTCGTAACTGGCCTTGCTGATGAGAGAAAATGCAAGAATAAAGACATCAGCCCCACGATAGCTCAGTGGTCGTAATCTATTGTAATCCTCTTGACCTGTTTCAAGGCAATAATTTCAAGCAAAAGCTAGAAAGAAATTGAATTTACTAACGGGAAAAAGAATTTCGAAAGCCATTTCCAAATTTACCAGCGGTATCCCATAAGCCTAAGTTGACAGTGCTGCCATCCACAACGACATTTGCACTGAAATTGTCAAAAACAGTTGGGACATAGTCCTGTTCCACAGCAATTGTAAAAACAAACAGTTACAAATAAGAAAATCGGTATTAAAGATGATCAGACCCTAACATAGCGCAATTGCCCCAATTTTTATTTCAATTAACCATGAAAATATCTGTTTGTAGCTTATCTGTCTACATTGTACGGCATGAAACCCAATCTTAACGGCACTTACGAAAGACAACAAAACTTTCCATAGAAATTTAGACGTCATAGAAGTATAGAACAAAGCTCACTCGAATAAAAAAATTGTTTTATCATTTATCCAAAAGCAAATTACTTAAATATTCAAGTTGTATTTCTAATTTTCTTCATCTATCTGAGAACCAGACACAAAATTCAAAAATAAATGCCGATATTACATGCAGAAAATTAAAAAAATAGATGCTGATAATTCATGCGATCATCTTTCATCAAAGATCCAAAAATTAAGGAAAGAAAATGGAAAAGGCTCACCGTAGGGAAAGTGTTGCTGGTGTAGGAAATCAGCAAGCAGGTCTTTCCGACGGCGCCATCGCCGACAGTGACGCACTTTATGAACCTCGAGGCGCTCATTTTCCTCCGCCGCCGTGAGAATTAAAAAGTAACAAATATTGAAATCGTTTTTTCCAAGAACTTCGGGCCTCTTCTTTAACAGAATTGCTTCACGCACTTGTTGTAGTCGTCGTCGTTGTGAAACGTAGAATGAGATCCGCAGGCTTCATCGCTTGTCTCCACGAATCAAATCCTCGGGAACAGATTGACGGGAGAGTGGAGGCAAGTGAAAGACAGATAAAACGGAGAAAGAAAAGGGAAAATGGCAAAATGAGAGGAGATGGGGAAACAAATGCGGTTTAAGTTTGAACTGAAGGTTAAGCTGACCTCGCCACCTAAGCCTCATCTCACTTTCCACGTACTAATATCATACTTTTTGTTTCTTTTTTATTATTATTTTTTTGTAACTCTCTCGGTCCCTTTTCTTCTTTTCTTTTTGGTAAACTATTTGAATAGTCTCTTTTGTTTAAGATATGATCAAATCTGGTCAATAATCTCTCATATTATCGGTCTATTCGATTTAAATCCCTCTGTTATTAATTTTCGTTAATCAAATTTTGTTTAAGTCCCTAACATGGTTGAAGGACTAAAATTGAATAGGAGTTAACAACTGATGGACTAAAATGGAACGAATAGATAACATTAGTAACTAAAATCGAACTGATCAATAACGTTAAGAACTATTTCCCCTTAATTTTTAAATTAGTGACCAAATTCAATCAGACCGAAAACATAAGGGATTATTCACATAGTTTACCCTTTTCTTTTTCTGAGCCTTAGAAAACAAATAATTTGTCCTCACCATAATAAACTCACTATAAATAATATAACTTTATTTAATATATTATAGGATAAAGTACATAAATGATCCTCTAACTATAAGATATTGTTTAGTTAAATTCTCGATTATTAAAAGTTACAAAATAGTTTTTCGAATTTAGAGAGTTAATTTCTTGAGTCCCTCGACTATTAAAAAATACAAAACAATCATCTAAATATTCATTATTTTCTAAACTCGTCTTTTTTCGTTAAGAAATTAACAGCAGTTTGAGATGAACGTTAACTTGTTGATTGAGATATGATAAAATATGATATCGTAATCTCAAACGATTATTATATCACAGTCAGTTTGTTAACATCTGACTCAGACTACAATTAACTTTTTAATAGAAAATGAGAAATTTGGAACATATTAAATAGTCGAGAGACCATTTTGTAACTTTAATAGTCGATGAACTCAACAAAGTAATTTTCTATAGTCGTGAGACTATTTTGTAATTTTTAATATTCGGTGAACCATTTATATATTTTACCCTATATTATATAATACTATATTATAATACATGTAGGTGGTGAAAACTTTTGAATAAAAATTGCATCTCAAAAATATATAAAATAAATATATACCTAGTATGGATTTGTGTAAAGTGAATATACATTTGAACCGGGCGTTTTTTTCCGAAAAATCACCTTTTTCATTTAATATTCTCAATTAGGAACCGTTCAGACTATATTTCCAGATCTAACACCCTTTGCAGGAAGGTGCGCCCCTTGAACCGCGCTTTACGCCACGTGGTCGAAGGCGCGCCCATGTGTAAAAAACTCAATGTTAATTTTGTAAATATTTTTAAACGGATTTCAAATATGTAATTCATTTATATTATTGTGACATTTGTGTAAAAACGTCAGCATTTTGAATTGTGCACAGCTCACACCGCACGGTTTCAAGTTGTGTATTGGTTGGGTTTTAATGAAGTGTGCAGTGTGTGTAGTGTTTGACTTTATTAGTATTTTAGTGTCACAAGTTTATTTTTCATAATAATAAATATTTTATAATTTTAAAAATTATAAATTTCATATATTTTTGAAAAAATTATTGTCTTTTAAAATTAATTGTTTAAAAATATAAAAAAATATTAAAATAAATTTTTAATTACAATTGAGAGATCAAATTAATTATTATTTATTAACTTTTATTTTTTTAACAACAGTTAATAATATTTATTCATTTTTAATAAAATTATTTAAAATTTTCTATTAAAATTATAAAATACGTATAATCTAGTATATAAAAACTTTGAGGGTGAGTATTTTAAAATATGAATAATTTTATAAAAAATTTATAACTAGTATTTATTTTACAAAATGATGATGATGATGATAAATATTTTATAATTTAAAAAATTATAAATTTCATATATTTTTTAAAAAAAATTAGAGAAAATAACTTTAGTGATCGAAAATGCCTTATAATATACGATTTTAACCAACTTTTTTGGATTTGCGAAAATGACCAACAAATTCACAACACGAACTCCAATTTCGCAACTCAGTTTCGCAACATAGAAGTCAAATTCGCAATACATAAGTCAAATTCGCAAAGTGTGTTTATTTTCGAATTCGAAACACAATATTTATTTCGCAACACAAATGTAAACAGTATAATCGCAAATCATAACCTAAAACCCTAAATCACAACTCAGTCTCATCTCCATCTCTCTCTCTACGGCGACATCCGTCCTCATCTCCGACGAAATTCGTCCCCTTCTCCGACAAAATCCGTCTATCTCCATTTCTCATAGCCGCCCTCACAACCATTCACGGTTTGAAATGGAAAATCAACCACCTATGGTTAGTTTTTTTAATTATTTTTATTTTTAAATTTTTGTATTATTATTAGATTTTTCATATTTAAATTGATGATAAATTTACTTGTACTTTCAGTAATAGATTAACCATTTCACTTAGATTGCTTAGTAAATTCATTCGGTTGCTGTCAATACTGCTAAACTGTTTAGTCTTTAACCCTGTGAAGTTAGTATTTGTCTTTTGGTTGAAGTAATGCAATTCATTCAAGTTTCAATTTGCAGATGATTATTTGAAACTTAAATTCGAAACACGAAAATGAAAATCGCAACGTAATTTTAGTTTCGCGTTGAGATTTTAAGTTTCAGAAACTATTCTTCTTCTGCAAATTGAAACTTGAATGAATTGCATTACTTCAACCAAAAAACAAAGACAAATACTAACTTCACAGTGTTGCGAATTTAAGTTTCAAGAATAAACTACTACTATTTATGTTGTCCTTGAACCTGTACTAAACCTATATGTTGTCCTTTTAAATGTTTATATAAGTGCTTACTTCTGGAATGTTATTTGATGCATTTTGTGAACTATGATAGAATAACGACTTGGGTGAATACCGTGCAAGTTTGAAACATATTTGGCTATATTTTCACTGTTTAATATCATGTCTGTTTATAGTGTATAATTTGTAGTTTTTGGTATATCTAACTTGGTATGTTAATTGTTTTTGTAGAAATTTTTTTCGGCTTCATTGACCTTAAGGAATAAATTAAGCCTAGCCACTACAATTGCGTCGACGCTTACACCTGTACAAAGAAAATTGTTTGAGGATACTTGCTTCGGGCCATGGCTGAAAGTACAACATCAGGGTGGAGATGCAATGTTGACCCATTTGTTTCTTCAGACCATGACTAACAATCTACCTGAGAGGATACAACGTGGTGATGAAGAGATATGGTTTCATTTTCCTCCGGCGTATACTTGTTTTGGGCGGGAGGAGTTTTGTTTAATCACTGGTCTACGCTTCGGACACGATGATGTAGGTCGGTACACTAGTCATATCGCCCGCCCATCGTGGTTATCTCGGGTTTTTCCTGAGCTGGCAAAGGCGAAGCCGAGTTTACATGTCGACGACTTAAAAAGATTATTTGTTAAAGATGGTTTTACTCGGATGGATGACCTCGATGTTGTCCGAGTATGCCATTTATTACTTTTGCATGCCGAATTTTTAGGCAAAGAGGTCAGACAACCTATTTCTGAGGACCTAATATTTTTTGTAGAGGACCTAAATGCATGGAACATGTTTCCGTGGGGTTCATATCTATGGAAAGCTACCTGGAAAAAGTTATCGCCTGCCTTTGAGGACCGAAAAAGTTTGCGTGGCCATGGTTCCAAATACACTTTGGCAGGCATTATTTGGGTCTTTAAGGTAAGAATTTCTATATAATGTTTCCAAAATTATAATTAATTATTTAACAATTGTTAATGTTTGTGTATTATATTGTTTGTGTATTACTAATGTTCCTAGGGCTATTTCCTGGAGGAGGATCCGCCTGTTGGATTGGGAAGAGTTACTACCATATATGATGATGAATGATGTAAGTTAACACAAATACTACCATATATAAACAAGTTATTACTAGTAGACGTTTAACTTTGTTTAAGCTTTTATATTGTTAGGAGGCCAACTATCCATTACAGAGGCTGACACCTACAGAGGCTGAGCTTGCCACTGATTGGTGGAAAGCTAGTAAGTGTTTTTTTTATGGCACGGATGATGAGCAGCCCCCACTTCGAGAGCCATCACCTCACCCAGAGCCATCACCTGATCGAGCTGATTATACACCTCTACAACGAGAGCCATTACCTATTCAATCACATCATAGAGACTCTTCTCCAGCATCACCTCATGATAGGCGACCGACAAGGATGCCACAACATTTATCTCCCTATTCTCCACCTCCACGGGATGACTTAGGGGAGTTAGATGATGAGGTCAACGCTTTGCGTGAGGAGGTCGGTACTTTTCGTGAAGACAATGGTGCATGGCGTGATGAGGTACGGTCCTTACGTGGTGAGGTCAAGGTTTTACACGTTGACAATGGTTCTTTACATGGTGAGGTATCTACTTTACGTGATGAGGTAGCCGCTCTACGTGAGATTGTTGTATCGTTGCAGAATGAGGTTCATATTCTGCCGACGTCTTCTGATAATAAGGAAATTGAAGAAAATAAAAAATACGCGATGGACTATTATGCCGACGTCTTTTTATGTAGCTCACTTGATGGATCAGAGAGACACTTCATATGTGTTGTGTAATGGAAAAGCTAAACTTTATCTTGCGTGGTGGGAGGTCGATAAAGTTAGTATTTATTTTTGAATATTTTAAAGGTTTTTATAAATAAAAATTTGATGTGTGCAATTGAATTATTATTTATGATTGCAGGTGTTTATCCATGTTTTGGAACATCGTCATTGGCTTCTCGTCAAGCTTCAGCTCCCATCCCTGAAGACAATGGTATATGATAACATGTTGAATTACATATCATTGTCTGATTTGAGAGATATTATTTGTAAGGGATGGAGTGCTCATTTGGCTAAATACTTGGATGTGATTGATTATTGGACTAATTCTGAAAACAAAAAGCCAAAGAAGTTCAAAGTTACAATGATTAGAGACGAGATCGCACCACAACAAATGCATGGAGGCAGAGGGGATTGTGGTCCTCTCGTATGCATGTGCTTGGAACGTTTGACGACAGGAAGT